TTTTATTTTGTTTTAAAATCTGTTTTAAAGGCTAAGTGAGATCAGAACACACAGAGTCACGCTTCGGGAAACTGCTCAACTGACTGACATTGCAGGCAGTTAAATGAGGAAATAGGGTTAAACAGAGGTCTTTTCAAATTTTCTTCCATGGAAGAATTCAAAAAGAAAGAGGAAAAAAATGAAAAACTCTTTCTTCTTTTCATATCCAGCTGCTGAGTTGCTTGGCCCTGCTGCATCCATAATTGTCAATTAAAATTTCAGTGTTCCTTTAGTTGCCTGGGAGAGGGAGATGAAACTTAACCACCTGATTGGTTCCTTCCATCCCTCTTTTTGATAATTCTAATAGATATTAACCACGAAGCTTAAGTTTTCCAACCCTATCTAATTTGAGATTCCAGTCCTTTAAGCTGATTCACAAAAATAAAATCACATCTGTTTGACAAAATATGAAGGGCTAAGAGCTAAACATCTCTTTCTTGTTAAGAACTGTTCACAAGGAGACATATATAAAATGATATCCTGCAATTTTTCTTATAAATTAGGCTTTTTAGACTGTGGATATCTAATGCCAAAAAATAGCTATGGTCAGATTTAGTTTGTTATGCACAATCCTGTTTAATAATCCATTACAACCCAATCCACTACAAATATATATGACATTAAGTATGAAAGAGACTTTTGAATCAATTTTCAAGAGTACTTCTGTCCTACAGACAGATGATGTTATAAGTAAATGTATGAGGTTTATCCAGAGCCGTTTATAAAAAGTAAATACCCTCGGATTATTCCGAAAGCGGTTTTTAAAGGTGGTTGAGTGAACCAAGAAGCTCTAAGAGCACAGCTGCTCCACACAGGACACAGACTTGGACTCACCAAGTGAGGGTAGGTCCAAAGGGCAGTGATCCATGAAAAAGAAGTTTGATTTGCAGCACCATTCCGTTCGATCCGGTTAGGGGAGCTCGACAGGCGAGTAACTCAAGTTTAAGGGATTACATAAAAGATTTACTGCCTAGGATAGTTTCTAATAGTTACAGGATTTCCTCTGCTTCACATTCCCTCTTCTCACCGAGGAATACTCAAATTCAGATGCACAAGGGGACCATTACGTGCCCTGAAGTACTGCTACATCTAGTGGCCTTTTGCTAAATAGGAAGAAGGGAGGAAAAAAAAGTGATTTTAAGACAGTACTCAACATCACTTACGAGGAAGATGACAGACACAGTTGCATTTTGTGATTCATCATCAATTCCAGCTTCAATTTCAGCAATGCTAATCTGCCTTTATAAAATCCAAACCATTACTCTTAAATTCATCAAGAATGTATCATACCTTATTAAAACTTACTAAGTCTAACAGTGGAGAGGAGGCTAAAACAAGGGAGTTTGGGAGGTGTTTCTTTTCTCTTCTGTTCTTTTTTCTTTTCTCTTTTCTTTTCTTTCCTTGCATGGCCCACTAGCAATCTTTCAGGATTCCTTTTCTTACAGTGGCTTATTAGCAGACTCTGCGAGGGAAAAAACCCCAAACCCACAGAAACAGTAAGAAAACCTATCTTCATTAAACTTACGGAGAGTCAAAACATTTTGAGCATGTTAATGCTTCAAAAAGAGAAGTTAAAGCACTTGGAAGAAAACTGCAATTGAGGCCATTAGATTTGCTATGTAGGAACTTACAGACACTCCTATATTTGATTAGATATGAGGAATTTGAGAAATCACGAATTGACTGGTACCGGCATTTGAACAAAAGCCACTTAGAGACAGAAGATTGATAGTTAAGAGGAAATAAGTCCAATGAGTACCAGAAGACCCTTCGGAGCGTCCCTGCATGCCCACACAGCTCAAGTTCTGACACTACCTACTTGCAGGATTCTCCAGAGCATTTCCATTTTTTCCTTGGGTAAAGTTCCCCACTCTGATCATCGGTAACCTATAAAATCTTGAAGAATGGCTTGGAAAGCTTTAAGATGCTGTCTTGCAGAGCTGTTGCTTGGAAAAGGCTTAAGACAACTTCCTGACACTTCTTGTGTGCAACCAACAACCACGCTGCATACACAGAACTGACGATCTGTTACTCCAGTTAAGAGTTTTACTTTTACAAAGATCACAGATGAGCTGTTGTTACTTTATCTCTCCAGGGTTTACTGCTTCAAGAAGAGCTGCTGCCAAATATCTTCACTGCCAACACCAACAAGCACGTCTTCTTGCTCTCAGGTCATGAAAAAACCCTACTGACTGCCAAAGGAACTAGAGTACTCATTGATTTTGATCTCTACGTAAGGAGGCAGGCCAAAGAGAATTTTCAGGGAATTCTGGTTAGACTGTCTTTTGAAAAGGGAGATACAACAGATAGAAGTGGATAAAGCCTTCAGAGATGGATATCGAGAACTACAGAAGCAAGAATCTCTTAAGGGATTTGGGCCAAGGATTGAAGGAACGGGGAGGAATGACACTGGAAGCAGTAACTAAATCAGCTTTGTATACAAACAGGTGATATAGTCAGCGTTCCAGCATTCACCTGAACATCCAACACTGACATATTCACAGTCTGTGTACAGGAAAAGTTTGCACATCTGAGTAGGAGAGAAGGAGAAGACAGTGACACACGTGGGAAA